CCCCCACCCTGGCCCCCAGTGTCCGGCGCTCCTGACATCATGAGGAACAGGACGACGGGAATGATGTACATCCACTGCAGCCGGACGGAAGGATGGACAGACAGACACAGAAAGAGAGAGAGAGGGGAAGGAGGTGAGTGTGGGCATCGCCCGCCCAGGGTAGGGAAGGTGGGGACCGGCATGAAGGGAGGCCGCGTAAGGGGAGGGCGCCCAGGTCCCCTACGTCACTACAGGTCAGGGAGGGCCAGTGGGGCGCAGGGAGGGGCAGGGGTCTCGGTCCTCACTCAGGCCTCTTGCGGCGGTGGCGCGGGCCCTGGTGCAGCAGGACGCAGGGCTGTGAGCAACACGGCCCCCCCCAGGATGATGTGCCACTGGGGAGGGAGGGAGCGCAGGTCAGGGCCAGCGGGTAGCCGTGGGGCCCTAGGGCCAGCGGGGAGCGAGACGGCGCTCAAGTGGGCAGCAGGGCAGGGCCCGGCAGGCAAGGGCTCAGCCTCTGGGCCTCAGTTTCCTGCAGCGCAGCTGCTGGACTATCCGGGCAGAGTGTGTGAGGCCCTCGGGTAGGGCGCTCAGCACGGCAGGGCTCAGCCATCCCAGCCTCAGCATCCTCCTAGCCTCCCTCGGGCCATGCCGGCCTCCTCGCTGGCCTTGTCCTGCCTGGGGTCCTGTGCCCCAACTAACACCAGTCTCCACACTCGAGGGACCAGAGGCCTGGGAGGAAGCCACCTCCTCTGGCCGTTCCCAGCCTCCCCACCCCATGTCTCAGCCTCCAAGCCCCCTGGACCCAGACCTGCTGCTGGCAGCACAGGCCCGTCCCTCCTCAGTTCCAGGAGGCCTCCGGGATGCCCTGCTGCCCCCCAATGCCCCTCCCTGGGCTACATCCCTCCCGGACCCACTCCTCTCTCCTTCCTGTACATCCCCCTGGAGAATCTGCTCACCCCTCCTTTCTAAGCCTCCCTGGTTGCTTTGAAACCTCCACTGTTCCGTTCCTCTCCAGCCTCATGGCTCCAGCCCAGCTCATGCCGAGACCTTCCCCAGGACCCTGCGCCCTAGAGCTGGCCCGACCTCCCCTGACCACACCTCCGTACCCTCTTCCTGCAAACAAGCCTCAGCCCAGGTACCAGGACACACAGGAGGCCTGGAGAGTGAGGGGCCCCCACACAGGAGGCCCGGAGGATGAGGGCAGGCCTGAGCACCACAGGGGAGTCTGAGTGGGAGCAGAGAGGGCCTAGCCAGGCGCCAGGACTGTCAGGAAGGGAATAGGGGAGGCGGGGGAGCCCCACTCACGTATTTGGCGAAGAAGGACTTCTGCTCCTGGGGGTTCTTGGCCTTCTGGGCCTGTTCCATCTCCAGGCGCTCGATGAAGGCCGCCGTCTCAGGGCTGGGGCGAGGGGAGAGAAGGAGAAGGGTGAGGCCTGGAGTCCAGGGACCCGGAGACCTTGAGGCCGCCAGGAAGGGCCGGGGCAGGTGGCAAGGGCGCCACAAAGGCTGTAGAAGCAGGCTCACCCCGGGGCTGTGGCAGGCGGCTGCAGCTGCACCGAGGTGTTGAACAGCTCCAGGTCCACATCTTCCACCTCATGGCCCCGGCAGCCCCCGGGGTGCGTCACCACCGACACGCCCACCACGTTGCCAGCCACGTCCACGTGCAGGGTCAGCTGGTCCGAGAGGTGGGACTCCACCAGGGAGCACTGTCGGGGGAGTGGGGTCAGCAGAGGTGGGGAGCCTGCTGCCTGGGCTCCACCCTAACCTCCCCCTGCCCCCCACCACAGGATCCCCAGAGCATCTTTCAAAACCTTCCCATGGCTCCCTGTCACCCTCAGGCACAAGCCCAAGCTCAACCGCCCCCACCCTGGAGTCCTCACAATGCTGTCCCCACAAAAACACCCGCTACCTGGACCGACCCCTCCAGACCAGGAGGCCTTGGAGGGCAAGGCCAGGTCCGAGTCTCCCAGGTCTCTGCGGGCTCCAGAAACACAGGGGTTCGAATGGTGGAAGCAGGACCAGGGTAGAGGGTAAGGACGAGGGAGAAGGGGGCTTGTCCTCAACACCAACTCACCGCAGGGACAAAGGAGGAGACGTAGCCACCAGCTTCCAGGCCATCCAGGGCCCCAGGTCGCCTCGGGACCCGCACCCGGTACAGGCCATTCAGGGCTGCCACATCCTGGGGACGGGAGAAGAGGGTGCTGGTCAGAAGGCTGGCGCCAGCCCTGGACAGCCTGTGATGCCCACCAGGCCTCCGCGAAGGCCCCTCTCCAGCCCCACCCGCCTCACAGCCCACACTCCCCAGGCTGGCCGACCTGAGTCTGCCCAGGACTCTTCCTGCTGGGGTGGCCCGGCTGGTGGGTGAGGCCAGGAGCAGCTGGGACTGCCCCACCTAGGGGAGAAGCCATTACAAGGAGCGCAGAGCCCAGCCCAACGACGGAGTGGGTCCTGAGGACGCCTTCCCTGTGCCTGGATCCAGCCGCACCTGGCATCCACCCCACGCCTGGATGCACCAGTTACACGCACAATAAATTCTGTTTGGGGGCAGCTGTGACAAGAGAATCATGTGGGCACCAAGCAGGAAGGCTGCTCAGGCAGACCTCACCGCGTGGCCACCAGAATGAAGCCTGCACTCCCAGCCTCCCTCACAGCTACATCTGGCCGATGGGGGGAAGTGGGCTGTGCCAGCTTTTGCAAGCTTTCTCTAAATGCTGCTGCTCCTTCTGCCCCTTTCTCCCGCTCTACCCTGCTGCCTGGAGCCCTGGGGCCTCTCTGCATGACACCTACGGAGGATTGAGCCGGGCCCTGAGGCTGTCACAACACAGGGCGCAGAAGTGAGCTCCTGTCCAACCATGGCTATTTTAAGGATCTCTCTCTCCTCACAAGCAAATCTCGTCTAAGTAGTCATGAAACAGCTCAGCTGAATCTGGAAGAGGAGAGGAGCCGATTGTGTGAAACCTGCGGGGGGAATAGGGGGTCTGCGGGCAGAGGGAGCAGTGTGGGCAGAGGCCATGAGGCAGGACATTGTGCCTGGCGGCGCCAAGATGAACCGTTCCACCAGAGGCAGTCATCCAGGACAGAGGCTGAGAGTGGCAGGAGGTGCTGGAAGCCCACCTGGGCCTGGAGGGAAGGCTGCGGGGGACCAGCAGGGGGTGGCTGAAGAGACAGCTAGATACCCTCCATCCCCATCCACACCCAGCCCTGAGTGCCCCATCTCACCCGGAGTCGGCCCCGCTCCTCCTCGCTGAGCTGCCGCTGTGACAGGGACAAGGTACCATCCTGCTGGTTCCAAAGCAGCGAGCCCCGCTTCCGGAAGTTGGCACTGTCATCTGTGAGGAGCTCAGGCTCAGAGACGCCCCCTACCACCCCCCCGCCCATCCTTCAACTCAGGCAGGGGCCAGGAGGTCCAGCTTCAAATTTTGGCCTGCCTCCACCCGAGTGACCAGGTTCCCTCCCCATCTTGGCCCCCATTTTCCTATCTACAAAGTGGGGACACCTCCACCATGTTCTACCTCACAAGGCAACCCATAGCAGATGCATGAACCCCACAGTT